GCAGACAAGTGTAGAGAGAAATCAGGCTAAAGATGACCTGAATATGAGAGCAGAATATAAGCTTATAACTGTCACAGAATAATAAAGTATATGGACTAAGGAGTTTCGTGTACATAGATTCATTTCATTTCATCAAAGATTAATTATCAGCTGGTTGATAGATCCTTCCGCGGACCCTGGAAAGGAGACTATTAGGGGCTGGACCCCAATAGTCCCCAACAGTCCTTGGCATCAGGGGCCTGCTGTGGGGGGAGCGGCCATGGTGGCGGCAGTGCACATGATTGGCGTTTTTGCAGATCTGTGGGACTCCGTCAGACTCAAGGATTAGCGTTATGTCATGAAACCACGTTTTTTAAACATGCATTTGTGTTTGAATCTGTGTGCTTAGATGTGCATGCTGTGACAACTTGTGGGAGTCTTCTCTCCTGCCCTGTGGGTCCCAGGGTTGGAACTCGGGTCCTGAAGCTTTGTGGAGGCTGGGCAGTAGGTCACACTGTCTCCAGCTGCTCTTGGGTGGATGTCCAAAGGGAAACACTGGCCAGGTCCAAGCTCAGCACTGTGGCGACGCTTCCCCGGGCAGGGAAAGGCTGGACGCAGCAGCATGGATGGGGACATGCCCGTGGAGCCCTCTGCTCAGTCATTTTCCACAAGCCCTCCGCCTCTTCCTTCTTGGCCCACAGCTGTGGGGCTGCCGGGCTGGCCTGGGCCGACTTGCGTGGCTCTGCCCACTCAGGCCCCAGGGTGGAACTCCCTCCGTGGACGGAGCTGGTCCCTGACTCACAGGTCCCTGCCTCGAGTGCTGTGATTAGGACGTGTTGTGCCGCATCTGGGCCCTTGTGCCCCGTTAAGGGTGGGCTGGGATGGTGTCACTCATCTTTGCTAGCCCCGCCCCTCTCCGCCCCTCCACTGTTGCCTTTTCCCGCGGTTCAGGTCTTTGGAGCCCAGGAAGCACTTATTAGCACCGGGTCTACCTCGTGTTCTCCGAGCTGTCACAGCCAGCCTGCACCTCCATGTCTGCCTCCCTTCCCCAACGCCTGCCGGCCCGAGCTGACAGGGAGGCTAAGGCCGTGCTCGGGGCATCGGCCAGGACAGACAGCTGAGCCTCAGTACGTGCTGGCATCCCAACAGATGCCACACAGCTGGCTGTGGCTGCTTTGACACCCCACCCCTCATGTACCGCTCTTACCGGTTGCGTATATCCTTAGCTCCAGTGTGGTTTTGGGGGCATCCCCAGCTCAGTGCCATGGCCGGGGGGGGGGGCAGGGCATGCAAGCTGCCACCGCTTCTCTCCTGGGATCCTGTCTCTCGTCCAGAGAGGTACCTGGCTTCCTTGGAGCAAGCCACCAGGGACTGGTCATGGGAACCCAGGGAAGCTGACCCAGGGAGCCAGGAGAGGGTTGCGGGGCGCCTATGAAGTGCTGGTACCACAGCTGGCCCTGGGAACGGGCCGTCTTCTGTAGCTCCCTGCTTCGGAGGTCCCTTTCGCAGAACCGTTCTGTGGCAGGCTGCGCCTGGTGGGCAGGGCCAGCATCGGAAGGACAGGGAGAAGCTCACCCTTTCAGACAGGGTCTCTGTAGCCCGGGCTGGCCTCTAACTCATGGCTGTCCTCCTGCCTCGGCCTCCCGAGTGCGGGATGACAGGCCTGTGCCACCATGCCTTGCTCAGGAAGGTGCCCTTGTCCTTGTCTGCCTTTTTCACTGGTGTCCTCACCAAGCCCAGGGCCGTGGGCGCCCTTTCTGAGACGTCCCCGATGTCTGGTCGTTGCAGGTGGCCTGTGAACTGGGCGTGTTGCGAGTGGTCTCCCAGAGCGGCGGGACCCGGGGCAGGGACTATTGCATCCTCTACAACCCACAGTGGGCCCACCTGCCGCACGACCTCAGCAAGGTGGTGAGTTGCCCACTGGAGGCCACGTGTGCCTGTGGTCTGCTGCCGACACCCGTCCCTGCAGCCAGGCTCCTGGCACTCACCTGGGAGTCCTTGGCAGACGCCATCCCTCTGGCCTGGGTTTTCATGCTCAGGAGTAAAAGCTAAGGCTGTGGGGAGCCTGGTCAGACAGGCTTGTTAGGCGGCCAACTCTCCATCTCGCCCTCAGAGCCACCCCGTGCCTGGTATGCCCCATGCTGTTCCCAGAGAGGTGCCTGTCCTCTGAGTCGGCCCCTCCACCCCTTCCCATCTACACTGAAGTGTGTGTGTGTGTGAATGCACATGTGGACTGCGTGTGAATGGCCCCAGCCTCTAGGTCCAAAGTCTCAAGGTATTTCAGCTCTGAGTGGTGCTCATGTCACTGTGACCGGGACTGAGGCCGGGACACTTAGGAGGCTTTGGCGGATATGCCGGTGTGGGGGTGAGGGCTTTGTGAGGTGCACTGGTTATAGCTTTGCATGTTGTGTGGACCTGTGTGTCTCCTCACGGCGTACTCAGAGCAGCCTCCCACCCCAGCTGGGGAGGACAGGCCTGGCTGTCCTGGTGTGGGTGCCTGGAGGGGTAGCTAGTGTGTGCTTCTCCGTTCTTCCCGTGGGACTTGGTGGCCCTGACGCCGTCCCCTCTGCAGTCTCTCCTGAAGCTTCGAGACTTAAGCTCGACACAGCTCTGTTCCTACCGTGACCTTCCTGTGGACCTGACCAACCAAGTCGCGCTGGTGGCCCGGGGCAACTGTACCTTCTACGAGAAAGTGCGGCTGGCCCAGGGCAGCGGGGCGCGCGCGCTGCTGGTTGTCAGCAAGGAGAAGCTGGTAGGGTGCCGAGTCCCCGTCACCTGTGGGTGGTGGGACAGCGTCGGGGGCCCTGGCTTCAGATGGACGCTGAAGCGGTTGGGGAGGGCGTGAGGGGCAGTTGCTCATGAGCTGGAGACCCTTAGCGTGGCCACCGGGCTGGGCCAGTTCAGAGGATCCTCCAGGCCCTGCCCTCCTTAGGGCCCGTGAGCACCGGGGCTTGGTGCCTGGAGGAGGGCTGGCATTGTCCGCCGAGGGTCGGGATGACCCCGTTCCTCTGTCCGCCGCAGGTCCCTCCGGGAGGCAACAAGACGCAGTACGAGGAGATCAGCATCCCCGTGGCCCTGCTTAGTCACAGGGACCTGCAGGACATCTTCCAGGTGGGTCCTAGGAGCAGGTACTGTGGGTTCCGGGTCTTGGTCCCGGGTGGAGCTGGGGCGTCGTGCCCCCCACCCTGAGCCCACTCTCTCCCTGGGGACAGCGCTTCGGCCATGCGGTGATGGTGGCACTGTACGCGCCCAGCGAGCCAGTGATGGACTACAACATGGTCATCATCTTTGTCATGGCCGTGGGCACCGTCGCCCTCGGCGGCTACTGGGCCGGCAGCCGGGACGTGAAGAAGTGAGTACTGCTGACCACAGGCCCCGCGGGCGGCCGAGCTGCCGGGAGCGGGGCCCAGGGTGACCCCAGTGTTTCCCAAGAAGGTACATGAAGCATAAACGGGACGACGGGCCCGAGAAGCAGGAGGACGAGGCGGTGGACGTGACGCCCGTCATGATCTGCGTGTTCGTCGTCATGTGCTGCTTCATGCTGGTGCTGCTGTATTACTTCTACGACCACCTGGGTGCGCTGAAGCCCCGCCAGAGCCCCGCCCACCCCGCCAGAACTCCGCCTGCCCCGCAGAGCCCCGCCCATCCCCAGGGCCCCGCCAACCCCGCCAGAACTCCGCCTGCCCCGCAGAGCCCCGCCCACCCCCAGAACCCCGCAGAGCCCCGCCCATTCCCACCAGAGCCCCGCCCACCCCACCAGAGCCCCGCCCACCCCACCAGAGCCCCGCCCCCCCCCCCAGAGCCCCGCCCACCCCACCAGAGCCCCGCCCATTCCCACCAGAGCCCCGCCCACCCCCGCAGAGCCCCGCCCCCAGCCCACCGCCCAGCTCTCTTGACTCAGTGTCTTTCCTGCCCTGCTGTCCCTGTCCCGCCCGCGCCCGGCCCGCAGTCTACGTGATCATCGGCATCTTCTGCCTGGCCTCCTCCACCGGGCTCTACAGCTGCCTGGCGCCCTGCGTGCGCAAGCTGCCCTTCTGCACGTGCCGGTGAGCCCCCCACCCCTCCTGCCCCGCCCCGCCCGCTGGCACAGCAGAGAGGCCGCAGATGCCCCTGAGTGCCCATCGCGGGGGGGGGGGGGCGGGCCCCAGGCCCCGTGCACTGCGTCCCTCGTGTGCAGCTGTGGCTCGGGTCGCGGGGGTGGGGCAGCACCACAGGCCCCCTACAGCCCCGGGGTGCCGTGGACCAGCTCTGCTGCCCAGAGCCAGGCGGGCTGGGTGAGGGGCCCTGAAGGCCAGCAGTGACCGGGTGGAGCCCCGGGCTGCCCTCCTGGAGCCAGAGGGGCCTGGCCGGCGGGGGGCACAGGCCCGCAGTCGGGCGTCTGCCCCGGGGTGGGCGCGAGGCGGAGGCGGACGCCGCTGATGGGCGGGCGCCCCCTCCAGGGTCCCCGACAACAACCTGCCGTACTTCCACAAGCGCCCGCAGGCCCGCACGCTGCTGCTGGCGCTCTTCTGCGTCACTGTCACCGTCGTGTGGGGCGTCTTCCGGAACGAGGACCAGTAAGTGTCCCCGGCCACCCCGTCAACTTGTGACCGCTGTCCTCGGGTGCCCCCGCTGCCGGCCTGGCCCGGCGCTGCCCATCTGGAGGGCTGCACACCGCGGCCGCCGCCTGCAGCCCGGGTCCCGTTTCATTCAGGCCTGGCGCGGAGCCCGCGCCCTGATTGGAATCTAGACAAGGGTCCTGGGCAGAGCGGGGGACATGCTGGACCAGCGCCACTGCTGTCACCCACTGTCGGGGCGTGGGCTAGGCAGTGCCTGATGCCGGGGTGCCGCTTGCTGCCCCCCCAGGGTGGTGGGAGCCCCCCCACACACACACTGAATTCCCACGGGGTTCTTCCGCTTGCACACTCCCCTTTAAGGCAGAGGCCTGGCGCCGTGGCCCAGGGGACCGCCTGCCTGTCCCCACCTGGCTCCTCGTCGTCACTAACACCGTCTGGCGCAGCCCAAGCCTTCCCCGGCACCCCCGGCTTCCCCGCTGCTTGGCGCTGACAGACGGAGAAGGAAACGGTTTAAGTCCTGTGATGGGCGATGGGGCTCTGAAAACAGTCAGGCCCCACCCAGACTCAGTCTGTCCCTGCTGTCCCCTCGTGTCTCCGTGACGACTGTCGTGACGGGGAGGAACAGGCCCCTGTTCCCACAGCAGCCCGCTTCTGCCCTTCCTGACTGCACAGCCCGGGCCGGGCAGCCCCGACCCCCAGACTCACAGCTGTGGGTTCGGGAAGACCCGGTGGTCCAGGAGCCGTCACCCCGGCCTGCTCCACCCCTGCGTGCAGCCAGGCCACAGGCCCTGCTGCTGGGCCCTGCCACCCGGCTTGGTGGCACCGTTGCCCCTGGGGTCTGAGGCCCCTTGTGGGCAGGACGGGTGCAGCCCACGGTGTGGTGGCAGGCCCGCGGCGGCTGCCCGGTGTCGGGTGAGGCAGGGGCAGAACTCCGAGTCATCAGTGTTCTCCTCCCAGGTGGGCCTGGGTCCTGCAGGACATCCTGGGCATCGCCTTCTGCCTGTACATGCTGAAGACCATCCGCCTGCCCACTTTCAAGGTGAGGCCGCCGACGGGCACGGCAGCCCGGTCCCGGGTGGAGGTCTGGGGCTCTGCGTGAGGCACGGGCCCGGGGTGTGGGGTATGGCGGCGGGTGAGCCCGGCGGGGCCCGGGGTGTGGGGTGTGGCGGCGGGTGAGCCCGGCGGGGCCCGGGGTGTGGGGTGTGGCGGCGGGTGAGCCCGGCGGGGCCCGGGGTGTGGGGTGTGGCGGCGGGTGAGCCCGGCGGGGCCCGGGGTGTGGGGTGTGGCGGCGGGTGAGCCCGGCGGGGCCCGGGGTGTGGGGTATGGCGGCGGGTGAGCCCGGCGGGGCCCGGGGTGTGGGGTGTGGCGGCGGGCGGCCCCTCAGGCCCTGGCTCCCGCAGGCTTGCACACTGCTGCTCTTGGTGCTGTTCATCTACGACGTCTTCTTCGTGTTCATCACCCCGTTCCTGACCAAGGTAGGTTCTCTCCGCCCTCCCGCCCCCCCCCACCCCGCCCTGGCTGACAGGCCTGTCTTGTGCAGAGTGGGAACAGCATCATGGTGGAGGTGGCCACCGGGCCCTCAAACTCATCCACCCACGAGAAGGTACGCCACTCCGCCATGTGGGCCGTGGGCTGAGGGCCCACGGAGGGGTGATGGGCGTGGGCCCCAGCCTGAGCCCGGCTCTCCCCGCAGCTGCCCATGGTGCTGAAGGTGCCCAGGCTGAACACCTCGCCTCTGTCCCTGTGTGACCGGCCCTTCTCACTCCTGGGCTTTGGAGACATCTTGGTGCCAGGTGTGGGCTGAGCGCACGGGGCGGGGCCAGCACGGGGGCTGTGGGCAGGGCGGCCATGCCTGAGTCCAGGAAGGGTCGGGAGTGAGGTGTTCTCCTGGGTGGGGCATGGCTGTGCGGCCACGCCTGCCTCTGCGTGTGCGTGTGTGTTTGTGTGTGTGTGTGTGTGTGTGTGTGTGTGTGTGTGTGTCCCCACGGCTGCCTCTGCGTGTGTGTGTGTCCCCACGGCTGCATGTGTGTCTGTCTGTGTCTGTGTGTCTGTCTGTGTCTGTGTGTCTGTCTGTGTCTGTCTGTGTGTCCGTGTGTCTGTCTGTGTGTCCGTGTGTCTGTGTCCCCATGGCTGTGTAGGTGATGTGCATCCTTGCTGTGCCCATCCGCCGTGGCAGGGCCCCGTGGGCCGCCCTGCCACACGGGTCTCCGAGGCCGTGCCGCAGTCTGGTGACTCTGTCCCCCCCCAGGGCTGCTGGTGGCTTACTGCCACAGGTTCGACATCCAGGTGCAGTCGTCCAGGATCTACTTCGTGGCCTGCACCATTGGTAGGTGGTCACGCTGCCATCCTGACCCCCTCTGCCTCTTGGCTGTTACCTCAGGCCCTGGTCCCCTTGCCACTGCTCCCAGGCTGGCGTTAATGTCACCGTAGGGCTGGGCACGAGTCGTCCGGTGCCCGGGCTGTGCTGGCCCAGGCTCCCCGGGCTGGTGCAGCCTTTCCCACACAGGCTCCCATGGCCGCCTGCCTTCCTCCCCGACCGGCACAGCCCTGTGGCTCCTTCTCTCTGAGCTTCATGCTGCTCAGCTGGCCTGGAGTTACAATCCTCCTGCCTCCGCTCCCACAGTTCTGGAAGGCCCATCTTACCAGCTTGCCGCACATGCTTGCCTGAATCCTTGTCCTTGTCCCCTGGTGGGTCACAGTGGCCCCGCCAGGAGGTGACCTGACTGTCCCTCTGCCCCTGCAGCCTACGGCCTGGGTCTGCTGGTGACGTTCGTGGCTCTGGTCCTCATGCAGCGTGGCCAGCCCGCGCTGCTCTACCTGGTGCCCTGCACGCTGCTGACCAGCTGCACCGTGGCCCTCTGGCGCCGGGAACTGGGTGCCTTCTGGAACGGCAGCGGCTTTGCGGTGAATACCGGTTTGCTATGACTGCGATGATAACCCCTAAGGCGCCAGGTCAAGTTGAGTCCAACCTCCTGTGCTCCCACTGAGCCCCTGGCCCGGGTCCCTTGCTTCCGGAAGGTCACACTTTGGGCTTGTGGTCCCCTGTGGGGATTCACTGGATGTGACCCGAGGCTGGGGACATTCCTGCTGCATGGCCAAAGCCTCCCCCAGAGGCCCCGTTGCAGCCAGAGCAGGTGAAGGGTACAGTAAAGGGCTGAGAGGGGGTGGGAGGTGCCCCCCGCCCCAGGCTGCGGATGACACACGGCTCCCCAAGAGTAGCCCTGCTCCCTGGAAGCGTCTTCCTGTGGGCCCTGTGTTCAGGACTTCTTGGTGTCACAGCAGCAGCTGCGGGGGTAGGCAGGGGTCTGCCCAGTGCCAGCCTTACGCTTACAGACCTCTTGGGCTACTGCTTCCCACGGGTGGATTTGCCCAGAGGAGTGAGTGGCCTTTCTCTAGGGGCTCTGGAGGAGCATCAGGGAAGGGTAAGAGGTGTGGAGGGAGAGCAGCGGTCCCACACACCTAATCCCGGGACCTGATACCCTGGGCCTTGCAGGCCTAGGCTCCTGCAGCCTGTATGCTGGATGGCATTGGGTGGCACTGGATGGTATTGGATGGCACTGGTTGGCATTGGATGGCACTGTTGGCATTGGATGGCACTGGTTGGCATTGGATGGCACTGGTTGGCATTGGATGGCACTGGATGGCGCTGAATGGCATTGGATGGTGCTGGATGGCACTGGATGGTATTAGATGGCATTGCGTGGCACTGGATGGTATTAGATGGCATTGGATGGCACTGGATGGTATTAGATGGCATTGGATGGCACTGGATAGTATTAGACGGCGCTGGATGGCGTCATGCCTGCTCTAAGTGCCCTGCATTTGTGTTGGGTTCTATCCCATTGGGGTCCCCTGCCCCCCCCCCCAGCCTCACAGCTTCCCCCTCTCTACAGAAGGACATACCTCAGTCTTCATGGGCTCCAACCGAGGGGCCTGCACCTGTGAGGGACTCAGATGCTCCCCTCCCCCCGCAGCCACCAAGTGAAGAGCTGGCCAAGAAACCCCTGCCCACCGAGGAGGCAGCCATGCCCACTGAGGAGGCAGCCATACCTGAGGAGGCAGCCATGCCCACTGAGGAGGCAGGAGCCGCAAACCCTGCCAGGGATGGCGACAGCCCCACAAATAGGGAGCAGGTCCAGCCCAGCAGCCCTGTGGTGCAGCCAGGGACTTTGGCCTAGGAAGAGGAGGCACAAGATCTGGACCCTCAGCCTTCCATGCCACACAGATGCCGGCCACCTGGGACCTGCAGGGGACAGGGACAGCTGTCCCCCCACCCCCGGGCAGCAGATCTGTGTCGTGGCCTCCTTAACATGGTGCTCAGCCCCCGAGGCCTCGCGCTTCTCCCCCGCGGCGCCCAGCTCGGCTTTGCACCAGGCCGTGAGCTCCCCCGCCTCCCGCTCCGCTCCATGCCAGGCTGCTGCCTCTGGTGCTTCGCCGCTGCCGCCGCCCCGCAGTCCCAGCCGGCCGCGCCGTCTTCCACAGGACAGGGCTCTGGGGCCCGAGCAGCATCCCTGTGTGCAGGTTCATGTTGGGAGCGGCCACGAGACCTGGCTGTGGGCACCCTGCCCAGGTCGACGGGAGTCCTTACCCCATCAGGAGGGCCATGCCGCGATGGAGCGGAGGATGCTGCCCACTGCTCCAGGCCAGTAAATGGCTCTGGCTCTAGGTTCCGCGGTCCGCGGCATGGCGGGAACCCACAGGCTTGAAGGGGTCCTGTCCCCAGCCGCTAGCCCTCAGCTCAGACCTGCAAGTCTTCCACACCACAGCCACTGCCCTCTGCTCCAGCGGTGGCGTCTGGACCTGGCGTCTGTCCTCTACCTCACCAGCCGGGCTCTGGACTCCACGACAGATCTGCCTGCAGGGAACCCCCCCACATGCTGCATGTCACTGAGGTCCCCACTCGTGAGGGAGCCTGGGGCCTGTGTCCACTCACACATGCATGGAAAAGGGTGACAGGCAGTGGCAGCTGGGCAGTCCTGCTAGGGCTTGGGGAGGAGGACGGCCCCTGGGCACCCCTGTCCTGCCCGAGTGGACAGACGGGCACTGGGCCCAGCCACCTGCTTGTACCACTTGGACTGCGCCTTAACTTAAGCCATTTTGTACCGGGATCTCTGAGCTGGTCGCAGGGGCTCTGGGCAGTGCCGCCCGAGGGCCTGCTCTAGGTTGTCAGGGGATTAAAGAGCTTTTCATACTCACCTCGGCCTCTTGTCCTGCGAGGTCCGGCCTGGACACGGCGCCTGCTGTAGATTCTCTAGTGGTGTTGAGTCCTGACAGGCATGGGGTGGCCAGAGCCCGTGGGTGCAGACCCTCCTCACCCCTTGTCCCCATGATGCCCTGATTTGCTTTGCAGAGGTGTGTGTGGTTCCCCAACCTCCCACTGAGCTGCCCTGAGCCGGTCACAGCCCCAGCTGGGCTGGTGGCACAGGCAGAGGCAGCTGTATCCTTGAGTTCATAGCCAGCCTGGTCTGTGTGGCAGGTTCCCACACATGCTGCATGTCACTGAGGTCCCCACTTGTGAGGACAGACAGGGCTTTGTAGTGAGCCTGTCTTAAAAAAAAAAAAAAAAAAAAAAGCTAGAGAGACGGCTCAGCGGTTAGAGCACTGGCTGCTCTTCCAGAGGTCCTGAGTTCAATTCCCAGCACCCACATGGTGGCTCACGACCATCTGTGATGAGATCTGGTGCCCTCTTCCAGTGCACAGGCAGACATAATACAGAACACTGTGTACATAATAAACCTTTAAAGAAAGAAACAGAAAGAAGGACCCGGGCTGGAGTTAGGAGTGCTCCCTGCTTTTCCTGAGAGTTGACATGGGTCCCCAGCACTTGGGGTGGCTCAGAACAGCCTGTAAGTGGCTCTGGAGAACCCACACTCCGGCATACGTGCATGCACGGACATACATAAGTTATTATTATTATTATTATTATTATTATTATTATTATTATTATTATTATTATTATTACTGTGGTTTTCTGAGAGGGTTTCTCTGCGTAGCCCTAGCTGTCTCGCTCTGTAGACCAGGCTGGCCTCAAACTCACAAAGATCCGCCTGCCTCTCGAGTGCTGGGATTAAAGGCGTGCGCCACCATGTCTGGCCTTAATTAAAACCAACCAAACAAACAAAAACCAACTTGAAGCTTTGGGACATGAGCCTCATGAAACCATGGGACAGGTGGTGGGAACCGGGTCACGGTGGGGTGTTTCCGGGACCAGATGGGATGTGGTGGCACACAGTTGCCATGCAGGCACTCGGGTCAGGAGTTGGAAGTCATCCCCGGGTCTGCCTGGCCTGCACAGGACTGCTTCGGAAGCCAGAAGAGTGGGTTCAGGTTCTTTGGGACCCCCGCTGGGAGGGGCACACGTGCCAGGTGTACACACAGGAGTTGGTTTGGTCGCAAATGTCTCCACGACCCACAGAGCCACCTTGCTGATCCTAGCCCCTGGGTTTCAACCTAACCTTCCACCCACACGTTCAGGATGGCGTGTATGCCCTTTCCCCGTTCACTCGGCTCTCAGCTTCCCTCCCGCAGGTAGTTCAACAGTGGACTACATCCCACCTGCAAGAGAAACCCGAGGCACAGGCTGGACCCGGGCCGTGATCTGAGGCTCCCCTGGCCCCACATCCGCAGTGGGGTCGACACAGTAGCAGGTGCCTGGAATGCTGTTGCTGCCCAGAGACCAGTTCGGGCTTCGAGGTGGGCGGAGCAGCCTGGACAGAGGACGGTCATGTGATGGCCTCTCCACTGTTTGGATGGACAGAGGACGGTCATGTGATGGCCTCTCCTCTGTTTGGATGGACAGGACGGTCATGTGATGGCCTCTCC